AAACAGGGAAAATCTGAAAGCCTTTAATATCTAAAAGAAGACAAGGACACCTATTCTCAGCACTTTCATTCAACATAGTACTGGAAGTCCTAACAACATCAATTGGGTAAGAAAAAGAAATAAAATGGACCCAAATTAGAAATTGGACTGTGTATGTAGAAAGCCCTAATGATGCTATCAAATACTGTTAGGACTTCATAAATAAATTCAGTAAAGTTAAAATATAAAGTCAACATATGAAAATCATTAGCATTTTTATACACTAATCGCAAACTACCTAAAAAAGAAATAAGGAAAACACTCCTATTTATAATTGCTATAAAAATTTAAAATACTTAGCAATAAAATTAACCAAGACAATGAACAATGACATTGAATGGAAAGATAACTCATTTTCATGGACTGGAAGAATCAATATTGTAATAAGACCCATACCACTCAAATCAACTGCAGGTCAATGAGTACCTGTGATATGGTCACTAAGACTATATTCCCAGTGAATGGAGAATAAAATAGCACTGTATGTGTGGTTAGGGAAATGAATGTCCAAGAAACTCTCTCATCAGGATGCCATACCAGTGATATTATTAAAAGAAATAGAAAGCAGTAATAATATTCATATGGAATAAAAAACTTCAAATGTGAAACTAATCTCAAGCAAAAAGAACAAAATCAGAGGTGTAACATTACTGACCTCAAAGTACTCCAAACAAAACATCATAGTACTGGCATAAAACCAGACTCATAAACCAAATAGAACAGGATAGGAAGCCCAGAAAGAAATCCCCAAAATTATAGCCAATGGATTTCAACAATGATGCTAAGAATATGCAATAGAAAAAAGACAATTTTTTCATAAATAATGTTGATAAAACTGGATATCCATATGCAGAAGAATAACATTTGGACTCTAATCTTACATCATATATAAACTAAAATAAATTAAAGGCTTAATATAGACCTATAACTATGAAACTTCTAGAAGAAAACATAGAGAGAAATCTCCATGACATAGATGTTGGCAAAGATTTCTGGATACAATTCAGAAAACACAGACAAAAGAAAAATTTAACAGTGGATTTACATTAACCTAAAAGCCTTCTTTGCAGCCAAGGAAATAATGAATAGAGTAAAAAAAAATCTACAAGTTAGAGAAAATATTTACAAACTGTACTTCCGATAAGGGATGTAAGTTAGTAAAATCATTACAGAAAAAACAAGTTTGGAGGTTCCTAAAAATCAGTCAAACAGAACTGCCATACAATCCAGCAAGCTTACCTTGGGTATATAGCCAGAGGAAATGAAATCAGTATGTCAAAGAGATACCTGTCTCTCATGTTCATTGTACCACTATTTACAATAGTCAAGGCGTAGATTCATCCTAAATGCCCACCAGCAGATGAAAAAAAAGTTAAGTTCATGGCTGTAGGGATAGAATTGTGGTAAACTGGGCCTGGGGTGTTTAGGAAGGAGCACTTGAGAAGATGTTACTGAAAGGATATAAATTTTCAGTTAAACAGGAAGAATACATTCAAGAAATCAACTGAATAATATAGTAACTATAGTTAATATCAGTATATCATATTCTCAAAAATGCTGTTAAGTATTAGCCAAACAGCTAATATGTTAGGTGCTGTATGTGTTAATTACCTAGATTTAGTCCTTTTACTCTATTTAAACATCATGTTGTATGTAATAAAAACATGTGTATTCTGTGAATTTAAAAAACAAAACAACTTTTATTATTTTATGAAGAAAAGTAGTCTAAAGCTGATGTGTTCTGTTTTGTTTATTTGCCTCTTTGATTTGCATATGTGAAAGATATCTTTATCAAGATACAGTAGCCACCCTTACTTAAGATATCTTTATTATTATCTGAAGGTTCCATGTCACTTAGGAGTATAAAGAATGCACCAATGGAATTTGCCTGCAGTTCATTCATTGCCAGGTCTACTTTGGCATTGACCATTTCTCACCAGAGGGTCATTTGCCATGATTGATTCAATGTTTGTTAGCCAACAATCAGAAAGGCTGAGATAGGCAAGACCGCCAGGGCTGAACACATGGAGAATCCCACATGCCCCAGCTGCTCTGAGTAGAATAATAGATTGAGACAGAGTGGGGTGGCAGAGGTACAGATGGAGGAACCCAGCCATTGCCAAAACCAGAGTCACAAATCTTCCAGTGTGAACAAAGAGGCATACAAAGTGGGTTGTGGACTTGTCAGAGGACACAAGACACTTTACCTGCATAATCTTCCATCCCGTGGCAGAATTAGGCCCTATATGAGACTACAGGATTCAATCCATGGAGTAAATGATAGCACCCGATGTACAGTTAGAGAATTGAACATCCATGACTGATATTAGGAAATGAGAGCTAAATTGTTTCATCAGCAACCTTCACATCTGTCAGTTTTCACCAAAATCCAGGAATGTCTCACTCTATTTCAAATATAAAGTAACCCCTTATGCAAACAGTCATTGTCATATAATATATTCATGTATTGAAGTTACTAGATACATAAATCAGAATACATTCCTGCTCTGATTTTTCCTTTTATGTTCTATACCTCATTTTTATTTGAAAGGTGAATGCCAGTATGGTCTTTGTCTCGCTTAGCACTCTTGCTATGAAAGTCTTAGGACATTATAGATTTATCTCATCCCCATTCTTTTGCTTTGTTTAATCTTTTGCTTTGTCTAACCTTTGTTTTTAATTTTTAGCTGCTTTTCCTCATCTGGCATGCATAGTGCAAATCCTCACTGAATGGAGAATTTCTAGGATTTACACACCTCCTTTCCTACAGAGCAGTGGTGGTGAACCTATGGCATCCGTGCTGTCCTGCGTTGCTTTTAAATGAAAGCTCTTAAAGGTTTTGCCACCACTGCTATAGAGTAAGACTGGGGTTTTTAAAATAGCTAAGGAAAGCAATGTTTTTTTCTTCTGATTATTTATTCTCCTAGGTTTGTAAGTGTCCACTTCATGTCCCTGGTTAATTTTTAAGTCATGTGTAATTCATAATATTTCCAAAGGAGGGAAAAAGAACTTTTTTTCCTACTCTTACAAACTGATAAGACAACACTAATGATAGATAATATGTACTATGGGGAGCTGTATTCCTCACATACTGAACAAATCTCTGGTAGATACCAACTGTGTGCTCTATAATTTAACTCAATTCTATTGCTATCTACCTGAAGATAACCTCAACCCTCATGAGTTGAGTGCTCACTTTTACAAGACTGTCCCCACATCAGATACCACTCACATATAATATGTTGTAATTGCACTTCTGACTGTAAATCAGGCTCCCACAACTCTCATGTTTTGTTCAACTGATTTGCTAGAATAGTGCACAAACAAGACAGATCAGACAACAGAGGCACAGAAAAGTTCAGTAGTGCGTCAAAGTTCATCAGGGTGAACAGGCCAGAAATGTAGCTTTGAGACTAAAAATGGCTGGCTTCAGTGTTCTTCATTTCAGCCAACATCCTAGTCCACGGTAGGGACTGAATAAAAATATTTGAATTTGTACTTAATATTCAGGACACCAAAAGCAAACAGTTTACATGCTGTGTGTTCTAACTGCTGTAAGACTTGAGTGACATTTGAAGTATGAGACAGAATGGTTCAGTTGAAGCAGAACCTTCAGGCACATTCTAGAACTATCTCAGATACCACCTGGTTGTGTGTTGCCAAGTTTCTGGTGGTATTTTCACCTATTAAGGGGAAGGGGAAAAGCTGAAAAAATTCTGGTTTTGAAAATATCTATTTCCATTACCTGTGTACCTTTTATGATATCATCATTTTTGTCCATATAAACATATTCCATCACAAAAGGGAACTATAAAGTATGTGAATTATTAAAACATTGACAAACTTTCTCTAAAACTGCAGGTCTATGGATAGCAAAGAAAATCAACTATAAAATCATGTTCTTCTGTAAAAATGTTGAAATTGAGATGAGGAAAATGAAAACCTAGTATATAATATGGTGGGAAGTATATAGCCTAGAGACCAGTTAGCCTGGATTCCAATAACAGGGTCCCCATGTGTTGTGCCTATAATTTTGAAGGCAAATCAATCAAAGGTGCTAAACTTCGATTCCTAACCAGTAAAGTAAAGGTAATTACACCTGCATTTAGAGTCTTGAGAGCGTCTCACTTTGGCAAAGTGCCTGACACCCAGTGGTCAGTAGATAACGGTAATTACTAACTTTTCTTCTTCAGTCCTGGGTTTTACTCTTCAGTTGCAGCAGTGTCAGCATTTGTTAACATTTTCCTCATGCCAAGTCCTTGTTTTAAGTGAAAACGGATTGAAAAAGTGTGGGTGTTGTAAGGATAATTCAAGGATGGAAGATGTGGATTTCACCGTCAGGGAGCTTATGGCCCCTCTTAGGATGCTGTGATTTTAATGAGGTGGGGAGCAACAGGGGATACCTATAAGCTGTGATTTAAGTAGTAATAGATAGGAGGATAACGGGAGGTAAGTGCCATAATAAAAAAGCAACCTCAGCCATTTCAGCGTAGAAGAAATGCGTCTCAGACAAACATCATCAAGTAAGGGTTTGTAATGTGTGGATAATGCTATTTTGATGTATGATAAATTTCTGCTGCAATTTGATGTAGGTATACGATGCCTTCCTTGACACAGTGGCTCATCCAAATCATTCCTCATCATTGGAAAACATATAGTGAATTTTAAAGTACTACAAATCAGAATGAGCTTTGTCACAAGTTCTGTTACAATCTATTACTCCAATTTATGCCTTATATGGAATTGGAATTTAATATTATGCCTTAGCTCTATCTGAAATTATCAATTATTGCTTCATTCAGTTCTTTGAGGAATTAAATTCAAACTACTAACTCTCCATCTCTCCAACATACCATTTAAAAGGACTGTAATTTTAAAAGTTACTTTTTTTAAAAAGTGACTTATCTCTCTTTAATCAAACAACTCTCCAGCTTGACATTCCTGAAACATTCTTTTCCCAGATTTTTATTGGTGAGATATCCATGTATTTTATAAAGTCAACACGGGAATCCCTGATTGCGGAGGAGAAAACCATTCTGACGGGAGAATGCTGTTACCTGAATCCCTTACTGCGAAGGATCATCAGGTTCATAGGTGAGTACGAGAGCCTGAGGGGCTAAGGCTTGATATATAGGAAAAGCTCGCTAAATGCACTGAACATTTTATGAAATAAACTATAGAACTTTGAACTTTAAAAGCAAAGGCTGCTTAGAGCATTTTCTACGAAAGCTAGATTCTGAATCTTATCCTAGTGCCAAGGCAAACTTTTAATCCTTGGAATAAAGTGATGTTAATTAAATTGTTTTAGAAATGATTTTAACTCTGCCAGACATGGTGGCATGTATCTCTAGTCTGAGAAGTTGGGAGGCTGATGGCCATGAGTTTGAGGTCAGCCTAGGCTACATAATGAGTTCAAGATCAGTCTGAACCACACAGTGAGACCCTATCTCAGAAAAACAAAAGAAAAAAGACTTTGACTTTAACTTTTTCCCTGTACAGCCTTTATCTGAGGTTTTCCCTGGACATGTATTTTAACATTGGTTGAATATTGATACATTCATCTTAGCTGGTAGCAACAGAGGATACATATAAAATAAATTTAGAAATAATCGTATTTCCTGCCAATAAAGTTATTACAATGAGAGCTTTTAAAAAGTGGGAAATATCTATCAGGTTCTTAAAAATAATGCCTTTCCAATTTTGTGGTAGCATTTCTGGTTAATGATAAGCAATAATTAAAACATGTTCTACATCCTTTCTTCTAGGATTTATATGAAAATCCCTGGACTGCTATGGATAAGGATTATATATTGGGCAGACATGTATGGGTATAGGTAGAAATACAGGTTTTGCATGGTTCATGCATGCTAAGTAATCTATAAAGGACAGTTATTACCATGTTTGAATGAGATCTCGCAAATATCTACTGACTTGATCTTCTTGGGAGTCACAACAGAACACCCAACTTGTAAAATGGCTTATTTTTAAAAACAAGGTGTGTTGAAGACACTGAGGACTAGGAACACAGTATGTTCCCATACCTTTTGGTAATTATTAATCTTATTGTAGGAAAGGGTTATAGATATAAAGTTATAGATAAATGCCCACATACAATCAAGTATAGAGTAATGTCTCTGTTGGCATGGGAATGAGGAAAGTAGTACAGTGGAAACCTGAGAAACTTTAATGTAACATAAGTAACCCGTAACATTAAAATAATCCTAGGAATTTACTAATTATATTGGAAGAATAAACATTTCTGTAGATTGCAGAAGACTGTAGTTGGCTTTTCTGCCATAACTTGATCAGTAGTGTGATGCCACTACTATTTCAACCAATCCAAATTATGGTTTCTTTCAAAGATGCCCAGAATCAGGTCACTCCCCAAAAGAGCAGTTAAATAACAAATCATTAAGAAGAAGAGAGGAAAGAAGGAACACTGACCTCGGTACTTTACATACATTGTTTGATCTTATCCACTTGATATCTTTAAAAGTATTTTATAGTTCTAATTATACAGATAAACAATCCAATAGAAAATGGAGTCATGAGTTCGATCCCTGGTACTGATAAAAAGGAAAAAGACAAAAAAGAAAAGAAAATGGAGTAAAGTAACTCTTTGTAAGCAGTATTGTATGTGTGTATGCACACATGTACATAATATGACTCCAGAAAAGACATTGTACATCCACCATGTGATCTGCTTCATCTACATGGAATGTAACAGGTTATTCAAAGCAGAAAGTTATTAGAGTACAATTAAATGAAAATATCTTTAAAAGTCACTCATTTTTCTTTGGCAAAGATAAATCATATCTATTTGTGACTCACTTTAGGTGAAACAGGATCCAAAGAATAGAAAAATTTAATATTTGGTATTTGGTATTTTTGCAGGCTTCTGGGTTTGACAGGGTAAATCTTGGTTTGCTAAGGGATGTCAGAAGGCCTTACCATCAAAGAAAAAGCCTTTCAGATTTCCTGTCGTGGCAGGTGAAGGTCCCGCTTGAGAAAGCCATGCTGAGCTGAGGCTTAACTTCTGCACCATCACTGTTAAAGCAGAAATATGTTACTCTGGAAGAGCATTACATTCCTACATTCTTAAGCATCAGTCCATTTGGTTCTGTCATAAGCTAATAGTGACCTCATTGTTGAACACATAAACCAGAGACATTCAAATAGATCAGTTAGAGGTCAGCATTTTAAGGAAGAGATGCTAAAGTGAAGATATAGCCAGCAAATAACATGTAAATCCTGGAGAACTGGAGGGAACAACATTGAATTACTGTAGAGTAAAAAGCATTTGTTTCATGCTTTCCCTCTTTTGTTTTATGATACCACAGTCTGCCAGATTGCTCAGGTAGAAAACTGGAAGATACACTGAGCTATCTGGGAACTAGTTAGAAATGCAGATTCTTGGTCCCTACTGCATACGTACTGCTTAGACAATCTGAAGGTGGATCCTGATAATGTGTGTTTTAGCTCTGGTATCTGTGTGATTGTGATGGATGCTAACATTTGAAAAGCACTGATATGAATTATTAACATTTTAATTGCAACTTTAATTAATCTCCTTATGTATTGTCTTGTATCTTAGTTCCATTCACTCCAACCCTACAAAAATCTTTCTGAAGCAAAAATAGGAACAAGTCATTTCTCTACCTAAGAACTTTCAGTGGATTCCTAGTATTCTTAACAGCCTGTAGAGCTCCCAGAGTCCACTGTTGCTATGTCTTCAGTCTCGTCTCTCTCCAGACTAAATTGCTTCATGGATCCTCAAAAGGATGATGTGATGTGTTGCTTTGAATCCTGTTCATGTTGTGTTCCTTCTACTGAGACTACCCCCCTGCTATTTTCTTACCATCAAACCTGGCAAAATCTCACTCATCTGCCACAATGGTGTTTAAACATTACTATTTATTTATTCAGAAAACAAGCTAGCTTGTCTTTCAGGACCCCACTGCACCTTGCACCTACCTCTCTTGAAAGCATGTCATAGTAATATTATAGCTAGTTAAATCTGTTGTTACTTCTAATAGGGTGCAATTCCTTAGACAACAGGAGCTGTGTGTTTTTCATTCTGTCAGCATCATGGTGCAACATACATGGCAGCTGGGTTTTTCAATATATATGGACTTTTATTTTGGATGGATAGAGAGCAAAGATAAACTTTATTAAATCTCAGATTTGTCTAAAACTAATTTCACATTTCATTTGCTTCCCTTATAATTACTTTTATTACTGCTCTTAAGCTTAGGTCTAAGATAACAAAGTACACAAAATAATTTCTAGGAAAAAACCTGAGAAGCCTGTTGTGACATTTCAAATAGTAGGTTTAGAGGGAGAGCAGTGAGGAGAAGTCTATTTAACTTAAAAGAAATAACTCACTCTTTCTTTCTGAGTAGCCATAAATTAATGTTTTTCATAACAGGAAGAAAATATGGTACTTGAAATAAAGATTCTTTAAAGGGAAATATTTTCTTTGACAAGAAATTAAAGTAAAATAAAATAGTAATCAAAATGTAAGCGTTATTGTGAAGAGCTTCTAAGCCTTTTTTTTCTAGTTTATTAGACACCAAAAAAAAAAACACTATGGAGTTGACACTGGAAAATGACAACTGTTTGAGATGACTATTTTAATTAAATTGAAGTGGCATGACATGTGCAAGCCCTGAGAGCTGGGTGCCCGGGGACAGCGTATGTAATTATTCTAGACTCCGTTACAAATAGTATTTCCCAACAACCAGTTGCAAAAAAAAACCAACGGACTATCAAACTATGTTCTAAGAAAATAACACTTTAGGCTGCTAATAATGAGAAAAATGGGATTCTGTTACATGTCTTTAGGTGTAAGTCATTATATCCTTTCTTTCATTGCATTTGACAGAAAAATAACTTTAAAGTTAAGTGTTTTTCATCTTAAAATGCCACCACAGATAATCTGAGCCAAAGAAATAATTAGAACTATAGGTTAGTTTTATGTATTAAAATAATGTTGTTATCAAGGACTTCTATCTAGAGACAAAGAATTAAAAATAATTAGGCCCCTCAAATTCAAAGACCCAGTGAAAAAAATGGGCATTTGAGATGATATACAGTTCTCAGGTAAAGGAATGCAAATGGTAAATAAATATATGAAAAACTGTTCAACACCATTGTTCATTTGAGAAATGCAAATTAAAACAATAGTAAAATTTCACCTAGCTCCAGAAAGAATGGTTATCACCAAGCAATCAACCAATAATAAACTTTAGAGGGGCTGTGGAGGGTAAAAAGCCTTTTCCACTTTGGTGGGGTGTAGACCAGGACAGCCACTGTGGAAATCAGTACAGAGATTCTTCAATCAACTGAGATTTACCAGTCGCATTTGACCCAGCTATTATCCTTCTGGATATTTTTCCAGAAGAATTAAAAACATCAGACCACAGCAATATATGTGCACCTATGTTTATAGCAGCACAGTTTGTAATAGCTAAACCTTGGAAACAACTAAAATGTCCAGCAACTGAGGAATGGATAAAAACCTGTGGTATTTTTATACAATAGAGTACTACTCAGCTATAAAGAAGGATAAACTGGAGGCTTTTATAGGTAACTGGATGCAACTTGAGGCCATACTTATAAATGAACTAAATCAGACTCACATGTTTAAACACCATATTGTCTCCCTCGTTCAAGAAACTGAAAGATTAAACAAGATCCAACAGGTATAATAGATATTGTGAAAGGCAATGAAACTACTCAAAAGGAAAAAATAACTGGGATGGGGAAAAAGAAAAGAAGGAAGGGAAAAAGGTGTATGTGTATATATACAAAACAGCTAAGATAATTGTACTATTGACCCAGTTAGTTCAGGGAAAGAAACTGTGATTGCTTATATGGTTTGATTTGTTTTGCATGCCCATATCTTGTAGTCTGAGCAACTATTTTGAAGGTAACAATATGTAATATAGTAATTATTATTAATTTCTTATCAGCTTATTTTGAAATCATGTATCATTTATATTTGTTTTTTATTGTTTTTCCTTTTAATCTCTTTGAAATAAATTTTTAAAATTATGTTGTCATCATATAAATTATAAGTATCTAATATACAT